CGTGGTTCAAATTGCATTTCAGTATTGTGGTGGTGACGACACTAGTTGCAAGCACTCCGAATGGGTATGCAAACCAGAAAAATGTTCACATGTTAAGCAATGTGGACACAATTAAGGACCTGGACTGGTGTGGGTACTTGATTCAATCATTAGTTAGCACCCACCGGAGCTGGACTGAGGATTCAAGTCGCAAATTCATTGGCCCACTTCTCTTTTTTACTGTAAGTGCTATTGTGGGGGTGGTTGGTGTTGTGGGGGGTTGGGTGTAATTACTTTACTAATGAGCTGAACATGTCGTTGTACCAGCTATTGTATTTGGATAGTCATGGTGGGCATGCGGGAGGTGCCAAAGACGATCCCACTGGTGGCGGTGTGGACCACTGAGTTCATCAAGGCGCGTGAGCGTAGTGAGCTTACTTCGGGGGCCTTTGGCCAGGGTCAGGTGGATGCACCTCTCCAGGCATCCGGTAATAACATGGTATGCGTTGGTGCACAATATTTTGGTATGGTTGGTGCACGCTTTTTCCTTTTAATCGGTTTTCCATGTTTCATTCTTTTTTCTAGTTGTGCAGGGTTTTGCCACCGAGTTCGTAGTAGTCACCAGTGAGTTGCGCTCGTGGACTGCGCGGGTGGTGGGGCTGATTTCCCAGCATCCAAGCACAGCTCGGGAAGACTGCAATTTCCAAAGGGTGGTGGAGTTAAACAAACTGCTGGAAGAGGTTGTTAACAGTTCAGTCAATGCAACCGTGGCAGTACCCTCGCCGCCTGCCCCATCAGAAGGTCGCAATGAAGAAACAATGTGGCATGATGTGGAGTTCATACAGGAGCTCGACCAGGCTGTGCTGGAGGCTACTGGGACAGGTGGCCTGTCCGATGTGCCGACTGGTAGCCGGGGTGCTAAGAACGGTGCCCGGACAAATACTACTGCACCATCTCGTTAGGTAGACTTTAGCATGTGTCTGTGGTACTCTAAGATTTGATTTTTAGTTGCACAAATGTTTGCAGGATCAAGCTCGCGTATTGTGAAATTTGGTTTTCAGTGTTACCTTTGATTTTAAGCATCTAACACCATTGTATTAATGCATTTGCCATCCAATCTTTGCTCAGAAATCTATACAATCATAATTAGAAACCACAATGCTTGTGCATTCTGATTTTATTCCCTTTGCAACAATATTGAGTGGGGTAACGTGTGGGGGTGCATTCTGATTATAAACGTTTGCAGGGCCTAATTCGGGCTAAGCGTGTGGGGGCCACAGCGGCACCGTGCATAGCTTCACGGGGGACTGGTGGGCCAGGTCACACAGGGAAGGAACCACTTGTTCAACGGGCCTCGGCTGTCATGTCTGATGTGCCTAGCTTTAGTCTCGGTTTAACTCAAGAGTTCGCAGCGGGGGCGCAAGCTGATAACAAGTCTGACCAGGGGGTTGTTACTGCACCACAACCTCAGGTACACTCTTCTATATGATCATGGTACGCCATTTTTTAAGAGGTTAACAGTGATGTAAGAAGTGAATAAATACGCTTTGACCTGGCTTCCGTTTGCATACTTAAAAAAATAAACAGTGACAGAAATAATAGATTAAATAAATAATTCCTGCATTGCAGAATTCCTGCATGCATCACATTGATCTTGCCCTAAGCTAACAACCCAGTTGTAGTTCCAGTATGTAGTCAATTAAGGAAAAGTAAGTTTATCTTCAGACAACAACGTAACAGTAGTGTGCAGATTCTATAATTTAAAGCAAATGGGTTGCAAACCGATTGTTTTCTTGTGAAAACGTGTTTCCAGTGTTCCCTAAGATTTAAAGCATTTTGCCCTCCAATCTTTGCTCAGAAACCTATACAATGATGATTAGTAACCACAATGCTTCTCTACTTATTAACTTTTTTGTCGTGGGTGCAGTCTGGTTTTATTACTTGTGCAACACTACTCAGTAGGGTAACAATCTCAGTTTGCATTTCCCGGATTAACGAGGTGCAGGTACCGGTGCAACCTCAGTGTGTAGGCGACACACTACCCCTACGGAGGGTGGACGGGCAAGGTCAGAAAGGGAATGAACTGCTTGCTCAACCGGGCCGTTCAGCTGGCATTTTCTTTAGCACCACATATGGGTACCCAAACATACCGCTGCCACACGTGTATGTTGTGTGCATGTGGGTATTTAGGTCTCACGAGGGCGATCGGTAGGTAGTTGTAGTCGTTATGGGTTACCACTAATCCATTTTTATCATGCTCTGTGGTAATCGGGGTTGTTGTTCTCGTGTTCTTATGTTTTTGTCCCTACTTTTTGTCATGTAGCAACGAGGTGTTATTCCATCATTGAGAATGAACTGTGAGGTGGGCATAGTTTCAAACGTTAAGGGAGCGGACATGAGTGTCCAAAACCATTATCAACGCCTGGTGTTGTGTCATGAATGCACGGAAAAAAAGGAAGAATTCGGGTGACCTGGCCCGTCTGTTTCTCCCGAATAGCTTGACGGTATGCATTTTGGCCCACACCTGTGCGTGTGTTGTGTTGAATCCAAGTTAAATATCTAATTGTGCTTTTTGTAAGTTGGGACTGTAGTGGGCACATCCGTTAGCGATGAGTCGCGGAAAACCTGGTTCGTGAACCGCATGGACTCGTTCTTGCAGAGTATGGGTCGTGAGGGGATGGCCGATGTAGATTTGGTGAGGTTTCTTACTGTCTAATATTATTGTCACACCACGTGCTGCCCAGGTTGTATTCATCCTTTTTCCATGACCCAATGCAGCTCATTTTCCCAATTTTTGAGAAGGGAATTTTCTACATGATGGCTATCAGCTTCAACCCTGCCCGCTTTGACATTATCGGCAGCTCATCTGTGAAAAAGCCGAACAAAGAAATGTATGTTGATGCCCCGGATGACCTGGTACGTGTATTTCTTCTCTATTCTATGTTTACTGGGTTAACTTGGGATGGTGGATGCGCAGGAGGGCTTACGTCATGGTTTCTGCTTCTTCCTGTTCGTTTTCTGTTTTGTTTAATATTCATTTTTTTTATAGATTTGCTGAGCCAAGTAGCTGAGGGTTGTGAAACAATTGTGTCGTACAATTACACATTTACTATTCTATAGTGGTGTGAGATTTTGCCTTGAAAGTGTGTAGTTTGTGGTCCTGTTTGAATTCATTAGTGGGTGGAAAGTCCTGGGTGTTGTATTTCTGCACTGACTACATTGCACAGTTGGATCACCGTGGGTGCAATACTTATTCTGAATTGGGATCTGCAAAATGTAGCATCTTAGTCCCTATTTAGGGTGCCATTAAATTGTGTGCATTTCAGTTTTTAATTTATGCACTGGGGGATGTATCTGTTTGGGGTGCCATTTTAATTGGTAGAGATTGATAAGATTATGAATGAATCTATTTAGGGTGCCATTCACTTATTCGCTCAGTATCTTAGTGTAGGATGTGGGGATGAATCTATTTAATGTGCCATTTACTTATTTGGATTTTAGTATCTTAGTTAAGAATTTTAGTATATTGGTTTTTTAATACGGTGGGTGTTAACTCGTGGGTTGCTCTTGGACTGGCATTGTTTCTCAGATTGTGGTCTGCAAACTGAAGCATATTAGTCCATATTTAGGTTGTCATTTACTTATGTGCATTTTAGTATTTTAGTTAAGAATTCGGGGATGGATATGTTTGGGGTGCCATTTTAATTGGTAGTTTGTGATTGGGTGTAGGTTTCATATGTCAATTAATATATACTAAGCTATCATAAAACAAAAGAAATGGCAGCCTAAAAAAAAAAAAAACTAGGCTCTAACACTCAACATATATATCTACTGCCCTCAAAAGATTCAAATTTGATGCCTCATATACTAAATGTGTGTGTTTGCAGATCATGTGTCTTGCTACCTACCTAGACTCCAACCTTCAGGGCTCATGGGCTGCGCGTCTACAAAACATGAAACCGAAGAGAATGCAAATGGCATGGAGGGATACGACGTCTACGATGGATTCCGGGATCTTCACGATGCGACAAATGGAGGCATTCGCTGGGCAGGACTATGCGAGTTGGGACACTGGACTACAACGTGGGAATTCAATCCAAATAGTAAACCTCCGCAAACGCTACATGCATAATATCATACTCAGTGAGGCCAACCTGCATGCGCACAACATTGCAGCGCGCGTGGGGGAGTTTGAACGGCAGAGAGTAGCGCAGCTACTCCACTAAGCATGGCGGTAGCACTGCTGGGGTAGATGAGCATGGTTTTTGTTAGTTTATTTATTACTAGTAGTTAGTCCACTGAATTACCATCTTCTAGCTTTCGGTAAATTGGTTTGCACATAAAAGAAACTTTTGTTTAAAAAGATAGGAGCCTAGCTTTTGCACAGTATTATTTTTCGCAAACTAATGGAACAAAGTCATAAAATATGCAGTGTTCTGCAGTTGCTCCCCGTTTTGCGGGTGAAACTTGGAAGTCTATTCACGTATGTTGGTGTCTCTGCAGTTGCTCCTCGTTTTGGGGGCACACAGTTTAGGTTCCTTTTTAAACATCGAATGTGGGGGTTTGCGGTGTGCATGCGCTCATACTGTGGAGGTAATGGCTGTAATTTAATGCTTTTATGACAATTAGGAAGTCTATATTACAGGCTACGCAGTCCCCCATTTTCAATTACACGTGAATTACAAAATAAAAAACAACCACGAACAACACTCAATTATTCATATATACACTCCCTTTTAGCTAATGCATCACATAAGACTGAAGTAAACAAAACCTTATTACAATCTGATTATATGCAAACGGCGTACCTTAGTTGGGCAATTGGAATAAAATACCCAATCAATTATAACAAGAGTGCAATAATAGAATAAAAAAAAAAACAAAAAACAAAAAATGCACTAACTTCGGTCGGAAGTAAAAGGGAATAAAATATCCAGTCAAGGCTAAACAGGGTAGGCTCGAATGCAGTACATGGAGACAAAAGTGAAGGGGAACGGTGCATACTAAAATTTCTTGGCATGTTACTTTGAAGGGCAACTACAGGCGTTATGCTGGGCGTATTTCCCACAAATTCCACACTTTCTTCCGGGTTTGGAACTTTTCTCAATGGCCATCTCCCTGTTGCTTTTTATACGCTTCCCAGTACCTTTATTCTTCGCTTGGGCGGGGGCTAAGATCGTTATTCTTTTCGGTGGCTCCACACCGCATAATGCTTGGATCGCAGTGCGGTTACCCTTAACATGGTTCACAGTTAAATCGTCACTAGTGAATTCTATGGTAAGATCCTTCAGAACCGAGACCATCCGCGTTTGCCGCTCTAGGCTATTGCCTACCATCCCCACGCACGTGTTTATCTCGGCACATAGTTGGGTTGCTGTGGGCGTTGGCCTGTCGCCATTAGGGGGTACGCCCCTACATGCACCATAGTCGAGGTGTTTGCACCAACGGCCCACAATGTAGTCGGGGGGTAACTGTTCCATTTGTGCACCCCGGAAAACAACGAACATATGCCGACAGACCAGGCCCATTCTTTGGAACAAGTTGCAATTGCATGACTTCACTTGACCACTCGCCTTGTAGTGTACGGTCGAAGTAATGTTGCCCGCACCTCCAATGTCATAATAGGTGCTATCCCCGTCGTGGCGTAAACCAACCACAAAAGAATCAAAACAAGCTGCTTCTATTTCTTTCTGCAACTCGTAAAAAATAGTGATTGTGAACACTCGTGCAATATGGCGCTCAAGTGCTAATGGTGTTTTAAACTCTGGCAGGTAACCCTCGCACTCGGCGTTTAATTTATCTTGCCGGTAGCGCTGCATTCCCAACACGCTCTCGAACTGCATGTAGAACTCTACCTAGCTGGAGTGGGAGCGTGTGAATTTACCATATACGCCATTTTCTGCTTCTGAGCGTGATGTGGTTCGCAACAACCCATAGATGAGCAAATCTAAAAAAAAAAAAACTGGGATCCAACTCTCTCTTTCAGCGAATATTTTGTTGAACCACCGATGTTTTGATAGCTTGTATTCATCCATTAATAGTTGCCATTGCTCCTCAAACTCAGTACTGCTGATTCCCACGTTCCACACGATAACATTTAGCTTCTTGCGAAACTCGGTGTCCTTAGCTAACCCACTACCCAGCTTTTCATTAACCTTAGTCATGATGTGCCACATACAGTACCGATGGCGAGACCCTGATAATACTCATTGGATAGCAATCCGCATAGCTGGGTCTTGGCCCGTCACAACACACAATGGGCTCTTGCCTATTGCACATTTAAATTTCTCCAGTAGCTAGTTGTATGAGTTAATGTCTTCTTTAGTGAGCAAACCGGCCCCAAAAGTGATGCATCGTTTGTGGTTGTCCACACCGGTCAATGGCACAAACACCATGTTGTACCTACACAATTAAAAGAAATATGTGAATTGTTATTGGGTAACAGTTCCACTATAAACCCTTGTTCGTCAAGGTTGGAGAATTGTATATATAGTATGGTAAAACATATACATTTTTCTACCAAGATAGGGCCAAACATATACATATACAGTGCACATTCCTCATCAAGGTTCTTTTATTTTGGAATTAATGAGGGCAGAAGCTAGGCTGGTGGCCACATGGTAGGGTATAAATAAAAACTATAACCATGCAATCCTAACAACTGGTGAATATTAAAACTCGTTGCACGCCCACATAGTAGTGAAATTCAACCCCAAAAAAAAAAAAAAAAAACAATCGGCTACAATATATAGCGTTTGCGCCCACCGAAACATATCCATCCCAGAAATCTTAACTAAGATACTGAAATGAACATAAGTAAATGGCAACCTAAATATGGAATAAGTTAATCAGTTAACCACTTCTCATTGAACAAAACCTTTACCTTCTAGGAGACAACAAAAAACAATCTTATTATGCACCAGGTCTTGATCTGTACTGTTACTTCCCAAAGAAAATAAGGCAATATTCCTGGGACGTCCTAAACATGCTTCTCCAAGACTAATAGTGAACATTATTCAGACAAGTCTGAATAAGGCATGATAGAATCCCAAAGGACCCAAATTAATTAATAAGGTAGGCACTTACTGAAAGACAGTTGAAACTATGTGATGGAATTATTTCATAATAGAGTTTTATACCAGTTTATGAAACTAAAACTGAATCTTGCTAACTGATGAAACATCTTTTAAGCATGAGTGGTACCAATCTATTAATCATACAAACATGTTAAAAAGTATTCAAAAACACTTCCATAAAGCACACTCGTTAAATGCAGTGCAAACAAGCTTAAAGCATGGATTGAACCCCGAACTACATCAGCATGCACATACGACTACCAATTCACATGCTTACCACAGGGTCGGTCTAAACACGAATAATAACAGCGAAATTGGGATTCAAATTGCAACCGCATACCTGTTTGTCGCAAACGTTGCGTCGAATGAAATATTATCGCCATAGCAAGAAAATGTGCGCCTACCGCGGGGGTCAGCTCAGAACAGGCGTGACAGCCGGTTCTCCTCATCCAGATGGTAGTAAAAAAAAAGTCACTACACATTTCATGCTTGGCCTTAAACGTTGCGATAATCATCTCGCTGTCAACTACATCAACGTACGTTTGGACGTCTCGTTTAAAATTGTGAAATTCCACGTCCGTCGCGCCCGCATTTGCATATGATCCAGTGGTCTCTTTGTAAAACCGCAACCCCGTTGATGCATCGATGTTTGCTTTCACACAATTACCTAAGAAAGCTTGCTGGGCAACATTCAGTCGCCGGTTTATCTGCATAAAAACTTTTGAGGACTCTGTGCACAACTTATGAGTATGTTCTTCTTCAAAAACTGTCACAACGAACTCCCCAGTGCTTTTTTTCTTCTTAAAAACGATCCTCGCTTTGCAGTTAACTCTATTAGAAAGCCGACGGCGGTGCTCTCGCTTATCCCCAGCGTCGACAACCCGATCATGAGCACGGGGTATCCTGCCACCGCCTTTGACCCCTTGCCGACAGCACACTAAGTATCGTGAGTAGATTTCCCCAGCTCTGTTGCGCTTCACGGAGCTACAACGGACATCAAAGCCAACGGTTCGAGCGTAGTTCATGTAGCAATGGATACCTTCGTTTAGTGTTTTGAATACACGCTCCGCTGCCGAAATTAATGAAGCGTCCATGGGTGGTGTCCATTCGTGGTATTCAGTCGGCGATGACTCCACCACAGAACGATGGGCGTCCGGGGACACCATTCGGCCTTCTCCAAATGCACAGGTCGAATGTTTGGGGGGAGGGAGGGGGGGGGGGGGGACGACGCCGACGGTCACCAATGCGCCGAGAACGCGGGGGTACCTGTGAGTTCGCCGTCATCGGATATTCTCATCGTCACTCAGTGCCGTAAAACACGCGAACTATAAGCGGTGTGTATCCGATGTTGCGAATCTAGGGTAGTAATGTGTGTAGCCTACTTTGGTGCCGTCCGATCTAAAATACCAATGCTCTCGATTGATCCACTAGTTCACACGTTACTACTGGTTCACACCAGAAAAATAGCCTATATATATATATATATATATATATATATATATATATATATATATATATATATATATATATATATATATATATATATATAATCTTCCTACATCAGTTTTTGCGCTCAAATTTTTATACTCAATTAATTAAATATTTTATTAATTAAATAATTGATAAATCTTATTTGGTAAGTAATTGTTTAATGGAAATTAATTTTTATTACGTAATTATGGTATTGTTATGTATGGTATTTTATTGATGATAAAATTATCACCAACCAGTCATTCTCTCCTCTGTTCGATCAGTCTCACCATGGTTTTTTCGAAGACTGCTTCCGAGTCTGATGTCTCCATCTGCTCAACCTTCGCTTTCAGATACGTTTGAGCTACCCTTCCTCGGTAAATATATACTCCTTACTCTATTTATTTCGTTCCGTTTTATATATGTTCTCCGATTAGGTTACTTCAAAAAAGTGAGAAAATAAACGTCGGTGAATGATTGCAGGTTTAAAATGCCGGAGAACTCGATCCCCAAGGAAGCCGCGTTCCAGATCATAAATGATGGGCTTCATTTGTGACCACTTGGATGGAGCCTGAGTGCGACAAGCTTATCATGGCCGCCATTACCAAGAATTATGTTGACATACATGGATAAGTATCCTGTCACCACTGAGCTTCAGCCAAGTCTTGGCCAAAGTTTTTTGTGAATTACGTCGGAGGCGGAAGAAAAATGCAGCTTTTGTATTGTTAAGGATAAACATTTTAATGTCGTATCTTTAGAAATCTTAGTTTTCTCTGAATTTTATTTACAAATTTTTGAGTTGGGTTCGCTGGAAATTTCTGTGAAAAACAGTGGGTGTTTCTTGGAATTGGTTAATGCCCATAAACATATCACGTTTGATTTTTGGGTTTTAGTGTGCGTGTCAAATGAAATGATATGAGCATGGCAATGCTCCGCTCCGTCGTGATTTCTGTAGTTTTTCTTACAACTTTGGCAGACATTGATTCAGATTGGAAGCTTTCGAGCAGCCATTTGGATAATGGTGATCCTTTCTATCTTCAAAAGACAGACAAACAGGTATGTGATTTTTTTTTTTTTTTTTTTTTTGAAAGCATAAGGTATGTGATGATATCTGATTTTTGAGGACTAGCTCTATATTACTACAAATGAAAACATGTCTGGTCAAATCAAAGTTTTATTTTGGTGGCGTTATAATTGAAATTTATGATTGCCAATGCTGCAAAAGTGGTCTGTCTATATCCTTCAGGGAATCACCGTTCAACTCAAAATGGGAATCGAGAAAGACGAGCTACCATCAACCCCATTTATGGTAGTAGAAGCTTAGCTAAATCTCTTTGTTGTGAACTCCATCTTTTATTTGATGAGAAACTCATAATTCTATGAGTTCAATATGTATTTAAAAAAAAAAAAAATTGACAGAGAATAAAAATTGCATAGAAATTAGGCCAACTGGAAAAAGAAATGATTATTAATGGTCGATTAAAAATTATAAATGATCTCAAATTGACTCAAATGAAAAATGAAATGGTCAAACTGCTCAAACAATAGTATAAGTAAATTAACTAATTAATATGTATTAAAAAGAACCATTGACTGAGAATAAAAATTGCATGAAAAGTAGGACAGGTAAATAAGTAAATTTGAATAGGAAATGATAATTAATACTTGATTAAAAATAGCAAAGAATATATTACTAGAAATATTTAAAAAAATATGTTATTAATAATTAACTAATTAATATGTATTAAAAAAATCATTGACTGAAAATAAAAATGACATGCAAATTAAGCCAATTAGAAAATGAAATGATAATTAATATTTGATTAAAAATGACAAGGAATATATAAAATTTGTATTTCCAATCAATTAATTGATTAACTCAAATGGCAATGAAAAATGTTTCTAAACTTACTCAGTGTATAGAAAGAATATTAATCTCGGGTATATATTTTATAAAATATAAAGTTACTAGAAATATTTTAAAAAAATTGTATATATATGTTGTTGAAATATGGTTATGTAAAAATATATATTTAAAATGGAAAATGGAATAGAATCGTTTAGTATCCACAATTTATAAGGAAAATTTTGTAATTAAAGATGGAAAAGGTTTTGTAATACGAGATGTAAATATAAGGTTTAGCCGAAACAGAAAGAATATTAATCGAGATGGAAATTAATAATTTCTACACCAAATGTTATTTTATACTAAGAATATAAGGATTGTGTAATTATAAGGTTTAGCCGGGTATGTCAAAAAAAAAAAAAAAAAAAAAAAAAAAAAAAAAAAACAAACA